AGAAACTAAATCAAACTTTTCTATACACTCTGTAAGACAAGGGGCCAGAAGTCTGTGCTGGACGGATAAAAGAATTAACCTATATAGCCCATTGCGTACAAGACTCAGCAATGACCAGACAATAGAGGAGAGGGCCTTGAGGAACTCGTTGTTGTACTAACCAAATTCATTCAAAGAGGTAAACATTGCAAATGAAGGTCTAAAGCCTGCATAACCATTCAACCACAATTGACAATGCTGAGAGAACATGTAGATGAGGTCACTCTGTGTTTGTTGGGTTTCTTGCCCCTACCCAACAACAGTCCTGGGTTCTGGAGGACTGTCCTGGAGTAGGAAGAGGGGACATCGGCAATGCTGGCTGAATAGTGTCTCCTCTGTCCTGGGAGGAGGAAGATGGAGTCACCACTGCGACTCACTAAACTAAGTCCTCATTCACACCATAGTGTATCGGGAACGTGCGTCAGATCCACACAAAGGTGCGCAATTCATCAACCGCAAATTTGTCCAAAATTTGAATCTTGGAAATTGGTGTCAAATTTTGGAACAACCCGAATCTGAATCTCATCCCTCATACAAGAGACTGCTAAGGTGACACATCTCCAAAATGAAGACAATGTTCTGACCCCCATAATCAGGTAAAAGTTTTGACCCTGAGCAGAATAAGTTATAAATGTCTTCTATATATATATATGTGTGTGTGTGTAGCAGATAAAAGACGTCACAGTAACTATGGAGGACGGCCATGACGGGTATAAATATCTTATTACCTCCTCTGCAGCCAGTTCCAGCAATGTCTCCTTTATACGGCCTCACAACTGACCTCTCTCCCGGAACTTCCTGTTTGTACCTGACATCACTTCCTGTCTGCCCCTGACATCACTTCCTGTCAGCACCTGACATCACTTCCTGTCATAGAGACTTGGTAGAGGTGAGGTCACCACCTTGTGGAGCTCAGAGGAACTGCAGCCTCGAGAAACGTCTCGTAGTGTGAACACGGCCTTGTCATTGTTGCCGAGTGTCCCGCATGGTCATCAGTCACGCCTATCTGATCTGAGAGAAGTCCCCGTGGGAGAAGAACATTTGTGCATCTCTTCCATGCAGCGTGAAAGCCTTTAGTCACCGCGGAGGTGATGCAGATATATCGGGATCTATTTAATAGACTGACACGCTGTCAGTAAGCAAGTGGCTGCCTATGAACTAGATCCATGTGTATCACCTGCAGCTCCGCGGTGACTAAAGGAGAACTATGAGGTGGGTGCTTGTCCAGCAAAGTGGGTGCTTTAGCTGCGGCGTCTCAGTATACCGCCAGCTGTAGCTCCCTATATACTGAGCTTAGGGTGGCGGGAGGACGCTAGTTTGTGTCCTCCTGTTACCCTAAGGAGAACTATGGGGAAAAGACTTAACCCCATAGTTCAACTTTAACGCTGCATGCAAAAAGATGCTGATGTTTCCAAGCAAGTGTGGCGCTCACCCCCGAAGAAGCCGCTGAATATGAACTTGGGCTCTCCTACCTGTTTGCCAGCCACCGGCCCCTTTCTCAGATCCAGCAACACCGACACTCTGGAACAGAACAGGCTCGAGTCGTGGGGTCTTTTTAGTATTTATTTGCACATGATCAATAAGGAGAGAGTGTCTGGGATTTGTAGGATACCCGGGTATCAATTCAGAGGACTCTGTATTCTCCCGTAGCAACGGCTAGAATCAGTAGCACAATGGTCCTTTAAGAGCGACCAGCAATATACAGTAGCAGAGAGAACAGCGAGGAATAGTCCAGGACCTTGAGAGAGAACTGTATCTGGACTTCTAAGGCAACAACTGGCTTCTTCTTCAGTAAAGTACCTGAGAATATGGTGAGGGATCTCTTACAGGGGTCCAGACGGTAGCCTCACCAGCTCCTCTGAGACACTCCTCGATAAGTAGATTCCACCTCCAGCCCAGCTTCCATCAGGTCTCCTTTCATCTGCATCTGAAGTCTCTGGGCCCTCAACACCTGCCACTTGGTGAGGTGCATACCAGGTATCCAGTAGTATCTTCTGCTTCTAGGCCCCCAACACCTGCCACGTGCTGAGGCCCAAGCAAAGCATCTGTAGTATCCTAGGCCTCTAGGCCCCCAGCACCTGCCATGTGCTGAGGCCCAGGCCAGTCACTTGCATCACACAGGCCTCCTCCCTTGGATAGGCCCCTTTGTAGGCGGGGTTCTCTCTTGGGGTGTTGTGTGTGCTCCCTTTGGGTTGGCTCTGTGTAACCCTGTGTATGCAACACGACACCAGGCACCCCACGGTCAGGGGCCTCGTGCTAACAACTCCCACACGTGTAGTACTGCGCACACAGGGCCTCATGGCTTCCACCGCCTCTGCGGCACTCCCTCCCCCTCAGGGAGAAAGGCCACCATGAAAGGCACCCTGTGTCGGGAATAGCCCCTTTGCTCCTCCTCAGATGGTTACAGCCACGATACAGTCCAACATCACACTCCGGTAGAACCTTCTCAGAGGTTGGAGGGAGAAGAACCAGTCCACACAGATAGTCTTTTCTTGGTTTTACTTGAAAAGGATGAACATGACAATAAGCATACGTTTCAGCCACCCCCGAGTGGCATGACGGCACAGTTCTTGTTAGTTGCATAGCGATACAGATTAGAGAGAGAGAAGAGCAGCCCAGAGTCCACGACTTACTTCGGCCCGAGGCCCACCGGCAAATATCGTCAGTACTACAGCTTCTCATTATTCTCCGGAATCCCATCCTTGTCAGTCCTAGCTCGGTGGTTTCCTCCTCCAGGGGAAACTGGGGAATCTCTGTAGCTCTACATAGTCCTAGGCCTGGTCCTGTCCTTCCCATGGACCAGACTATGTATTAGAATCAGTCTCTCTCCAGAGACTCTGCATACAGTCTTAGACTTCTGCTCTCCTGTACTCCACTTTCCCCTCTCGGGCGCCCCCTATAAATCAGCTCTCCTGGGACACAGAGTCTCCCCAGGCCAGAGCTACATCTATCTCCAGGGCCCCATGGGGGCATCTAGTGGCCATTGGCCGTACTGCACCTATCCTACACCTTGAGGGGAGAGAGCTCTGGACAGTGTCCCCAAACCTTTTATCACCTTGCTCCACCCATACCTCTGAGTCATCTTGCTCAGGGATTGGCTAGAGTCAGGTGCACAGTCACAGCCTGAGGATGGAACCTTCCTCACTGTCTGCTGAGTCCTCAACCCAGAAATAGGGGAAAGCAATCAATCCAGCAAACTCAGGGACACCTGTGGAACTCAGAATAAACAGCCTCCAGACTGATTACAGTCCAGATATACACTAAATTTGATAGCGACATACTAGAGGGCGCTACACTAGGAGTAGAGGGGCGCAACTGTCGAATAAAAGCCCCTCTTACTGACGGGGGTGGGGTTTAGGGAGGGGGGTCGCATTGAGGAACCTGGCCTTGTGGAAGTAGAAGTATAAAAATAAAACCTCCAGTATGAGAAGAACTTGTAGAGTCAGCAGAAGGAATAAAAGGGAAAGAAAAGAAGATTTAATGACACAAATGTGAAGAGAACTTTTATCAATCACCTTACAATGAATATCATGAGAAGAAGAATAGAAACATTTCATCTTCATTTGTTTCACAATCATAAAAATGTCTTCATATATTTATCAGGGAAATGTGAAATGTTCCGTCTGAAGACGTCATATCTTCCACTTTCCTCCAGCAGGGGGCTCTCCAGAGTCCATGAAGCTGCCTGTGCAGACTGATCACTACTGCAGTGACATGGTCAGTCCCGTCATGTAGTCTGATCTCCCCTTCTCTTCATCCACAAGTCATATGTAGCTCCTCTCCCTCACCATGATGGAACGTTCTATGAAGCTTCTGCTGAAGAACACGGGGAAGATAGACGGCACTGCTAGAGGGACCCAACCAGCAGTGACACCCCCCCTCCCCCTCTCACCTAGCACAGGAACACAGACACAACTTTGAAGACTTGAATGAACTCCTATTTCCTTATAAAGTGTTTCTTCCATTATAAAGATGAGAGGAGAGCCGAGTCATGTGATCTCTGAGGTGTCTATCAAGGTGTGCTTCTTCCCAGGGTGACATCTTTGACCATTTCCTGTACTCAGGACACTACACCTCCAGGGCTGTGCGAGCTTCTCTGATGTTTTCACTTGTACTGGCGGATGGGGGTGATTAAAGACGACCGGCACAGTCACAGGACAAGGACCCCAAAGTGAGGTGGACGCGGCATTGCTTGTCCATTCTAAGGCGGTGTAGGAAGGCCACAAGGTCAGCAGGTTTAGGGGGGTCAGTAAGGGGGGTGCGGAAATGGCAGAGCAACATTATTTTGTCCTGTGAGCAGTAACCCGGGGGACTCTGGAGGGGGGTTGGGGAGAGTGTTAGGAGGTGACATCTACTCACCACCCACCAATCAATACATCCACAAAGCCTGTGGAGCCCGCCCCCCACCTCCGGGAGGATGTCCTCAGTGACTGGGTCACACTATGTGCATACGCCACTGTCCTGGACCTGTAAAGCACCCTGGTCCACAAAGCAACAGCCCGAGGGGTACTGATACGGAAAATGGGAAATAGCCGCCGTGGCTGGACATGGCCAGAAGAACCTGAGAGAAGAATCGATGAGACAAAAGGTCACTAAACTACCGCACATCTCCATCAGTAGAGAGGAGACGTCCATCACCTAAGGACACTAGCCAAAAAATACGGATTTCCTGAAGGGGGAGGGGCTATATGAGGGTCCTCACAACTCTGGCCAGTGTCCAATCACCTGATATCTGCATTCAGATGTCTCTGGATCTGCCTGTGTCCTGTGCTGTACCATCAAGAAAACAGCTTTACCCATGTGTGTCTCATCTGATGTTCAATATGATGGGAGTTCCATGAGAAACTTTTTCCACACTCAGGTCAGGAATATCTCCTCTGAAAAACATTTCCCTCACTCATGTGAGATCTATAATGTCTGAGCAGTTAATGAAGAAATCACTTCCCACAATCATTGTACAACTACAGCTTCTCCTCCGTCTGCAAACAATGATGACTGAAAATATAGGATTTCCGTGAATAACCTTTCCCACACTCAGGGCAGTAATATGGCTTCTCGCCTGTGTGTAATCTCATATGTGTTTTAAGATAGGCCCTTGCTGTAAAACATTTACCGCACTCAGGGCAGGAATATGGTTTCTCGCCTGTGTGTGATCTTTGATGTGTAGTAAAATTGGACTTATCTGAAAACGCTTTCCCGCACTCGGAGCAGGAATATGGCTTCTCCCCTGTGTGTGATCTCTGATGTTTGATAAGATGGCACTTTTTTGAAAAACTTCTCTGGCACTCGGTGCAGGAAAACGGCTTCTCCCCCGTGTGTATTCTCTGATGATGGATAAGATAACATTTTTGAGCAAAGCCTCTCCCGCACTCAGGGCAGGAATATGGCTTTTCCCCCGTGTGAGATCTGTAATGTGTGACAAGGTCTGATTTACGAAGAAAACCTTCCCCACACTCATAACAGTAAAAAGACTTGTCACCCATGTGAGAACTCAGATGAACACAAAGATCTGATTCAGAGGTAAAACTTTCCCCACACTCAGAACAGGAAAATGTCTTCTTCCCCTGAATTCCGGCACCATCCCCCACAGGACGAGGTTGCTCAGAGTCAGAGGGATCCCATGCTCTATCCACACTGTGAAGTCCACCATCCATAGCTGAGCTCATTGTCTCTTCTCCCGCACAATCTGCTGTGATGTCCTCATCTTCCATCTTACAACCTGGAGATAAAGTCAGAGGATCCTTTGAGGGTTCCTCCATGGCGTGTCCTGGAAACATAGAAACACATGATGGAGAGATATGAGAGGGTTAGATGACTTCACTCAACATTCCATCTGGATCAGGAGGTCTGAGGGAGCAGATGTTCTCTGTGGAGGTCCCAACCAGCTGGGACTCCTCCCCTCTTCAGTCAAAGGGCCTTTGGTCCTCCTCCCAGATCACTTCTACATTTACATAGCCCTGTCAGAAGAGGCGGAGCCATTGGGGACTGGGAGGAGCATGCTCTCACCCAACCACAAGCCTAGGCACTGGGCCATGTGATCTCTGAGGAACAAGAGGATCAAAGTTCAGACTTGTAGACCCTTCACCACAGAACAAGTGACCACAGGCCTAGGCTTCTGGTGATGATAGTTGTGATCTTCCTGTGTGGAATCCCGGGAATACAGAGGACGGGGACATCTCTCTGGTGGGTTCCTGTAGCTGGATGACTCCTCCATCACACCATCCTCATCCTCCTCTTCTTTTATTTCTTCTTTAACAACGATTTTAGAGTCACTCCGGTTTGCACTCTGAATATAGAACACAATGACATCAGTGGTGACAAGGTAGATGATGTACAGATCCCAATGATATCATCAGTGATGGTTCATCATCTACCTGATCATGGTGGGGGATGGTGTGGTCCTCCTGTGTGGAATCCCTGGAATACAGAGGACGGGGACATCTCTCTGGTGGGTTCCTCTTACTGGATCCATCTGTAGGAAACACACACACTGACTGAATACATTGTTTCTATGTGTGTATCAGATGATGGGGGATGTAGGATGACGTCCTTGTAGAGATCCCGGTGTCCTTCTATATCCCCCCATTCCTACATGGAGACATAGACAGAGACCTCCTGACACCTTATAGGAACCTGACACACACAATGATACCGTCACCATCCAGACACATCCCTTGTCTGTTCCTGGATCATGTCTCAGAATTCCCGGCACCGCTCACCTCTCCTGTCAGCAGCTCCATCATCTTCTTGGTGACTTCCAGAATCTTCTCCATGTTGTGTCTCTCGGGTTTTAGGGAGTCACGTGGGGGCACTGTGATGGTCACATGATCACCTGACTTCAGAAGAGGAAAACTCTGGATGGAGAAACCAATAGGAATATCATGTTAGTATCCCAGAATCCTCCTCACCTCTCCGGTCAGGTCTGTGTATTGGTAGAGCAATGAATGACGTCATGTGACTAGTGATGGACGAACTTGCTATTGAAGTCTATAGGAGGTGAATCTTAGAAATAAATTATCTCTGTTTTAAAGCCTAATGGACAAGGGAGCTGGGTTCTGCTCTGGGGACATGTCCTAATAACAACAATACAGTTCAGTGAGGAGATGACCTCCCTTTTATGTGACTATAAGAGTGACATGTATGCCTGTGTTGTAGGCCACATATGAAGAGAGAGAGATGAGGCATTGCTGGATTCAGATAGAAATATTACAGAGACCCGCTGCACATCATGCAAGCCTTGTTAGTAGGCCGCATTTGAGGTGTGAGGGACGAGGCATTTTTTATCTAGCAAAAAAATTTCCTTGGATTATGTCAGACACACAAGGCATAAATATTGTACAGGAAGCAATGAATCAGTGGCAGGAGATGATAATTGGTAGCAGGCAAGTGGCAGTGATAAGATATGATAAAGGATGGCAGGTATGCAGAGGTGACAGTAGATAGTAATGGATGACAGGCCAGCAGTGGTGACAGTAGATAGTAATGGATGACTGGCCAGCAGTGGTGGCAGTAGATAGTAATGGATGACAGGCCAGCAGTGGTGGCAGTAGATAGTAATGGATGACAGGCCAGCAGTGGTGGCAGTAGATAGTAATGGATGACAGGCCAGCAGTGGTGGCAGTAGATAGTAATGGATGACAGGCCAGCAGTGGTGGCAGTAGATAGTAATGGATGACAGGCCAGCAGTGGTGGCAAGAGATATCATTACCTCTCCGGTCAGCAGGTAGATGATGTCAAGGGTGAGGTTTAGTATCCTCTCAGTCATGTGACTCTGGTCCTCCTCCATCTTCACCGGTGTGGTCATGTGATCTCTGTGGACGGATAGTGGAGAATTATCTGGACTGTACTGGTTGTATAATATTAGGATGGGGATATAAGGGGGTAATAGGTGGGCTGCCCCCCAGTGGGAATTGCCCCATGTAGATGGGGTCACTCTGTGTTTGTTGGGTTTCTTGCCCCCTACCCACCAACAGTCCCGGGTTCTGGAGGACCGTCCTGGAGTAGGAGGAGGAAGAGGGGACATCGGCAATGCTGGCTGAATAGTGTCTCCTCTGTCCTGGGAGGAGGAAGATGGAGCCACCACTGCGACACACTAAACTAAGTCCTCATTCACACCATAGTGTATCGGGAACGTGCATCAGAAACACACAAAGGTGCGCAATTCATCAACCGCAAATTTGTCCAAAATTAGAATTTTGGAAATTGGTGTCAAATTTTAGAACAACCCGAATCTGAATCTCATCCCTAATACAAGAGACTGCTAAGGTGACACATGTACAAAATGAAGACAATGTTCTGACCTCACAATCGGGTAAATGTTCTGACCCTGAGCAGAATAAGTTATACATTTCTTATATATATATGTGTAGCAGCATCTGCTGGAGATAAAAGACGTCACAGTAACTATGAAGGACGAGGACGCACATGACGGGTATAAATATCCTATTACCTCCTCTGCTGCCAGTTCCAGCAATGTTTCCTTTATACGGCCTCACAACTGACCTCTTACCCGGAACTTCCTGTTTGTACCTGACATCACTTCCTGTCATAGAGACTTTCTGTCTCGGTAGAGGTGAGGTCACCACCTTGTGGAGCTCAGAGGAACTGCAGCCTTGAGAAACGTCTCGTAGTTTGAACACGGCCTTGTCATTGTTGCCGAGTGTCCCGGATGGTCATCAGTCAAGCCTAGACCCAGCTAGTCCACTCAGCTGCCAAGGCCGGGCTTTGGCAATGGGCAGACACGTGACCCCCTTCCATACTTATAACACCCCACAAAGCCCTGAGAATGAGGGAGATGATCTGAGAGAAGTCCCCGTGGGAGAAGAACATTTGCGCAGTGGCCCCCCAAGTGAATTGAGTTTGAGACCCCTGTTCTACTCCTTGCTTTAAAACCTTCATGGACACATCAGCATCTCTTCCATGCAGCGTGAAAGCCTTTAGTCACCGCGGAGGTGATGCAGATATATCGGGATCTATTTAATAGACTGACACGCTGTCAGTAAGCAAGTGGCTGCCTATGAACTAGATCCATCTGTATCACCTGCAGCTCCGCGTTGACTAAAGGCTTTAACACTGCATGTAAAAGATGCTGATGTTTCCACGCAAGGAGTAGAGGTGCACAACTGTCGAATAAAAGCCCCTCTCACTGACGGGGGTAGGGTTTAGGGAGGAGGGGAGGCGCATTGAGGAACCTGGCCTTGTGGCAGCAGAGAGAGCCATTCCGGCCCTGTTAGCAATTCTAGATGGTGCTGACAACTATATATTTCCTAGCATTGGGCGGGCTATGTGCCGAGTGGAACTTTTATACATGAAGCCCTTGTTAGGAGCATGTCTAATACCCCTATGTCTGTCACAACCTTCCAGCTCCATCTGGTGGTTACCTGTTGTCACTGCACCTATCCCTGTCTTGTCATCTGTGGGCTAATGGGCCTGTCCATACACCTTCATCAGATCTCAATCAGCTGTGGGCTAATGGTCCTGGCCATACACCTTCATAAGGTCTCAATCAGCTGTGGGCTAATGGTCCTGGCCATACACCTTCATAAGGTCTCAATCAGCTGTGGGCTAATGGGCCTGGCCATATACCTTCATCAGCTCTCCATCAGCTGTGGGCTAATGGTCCTGGCCATACACCTTCATAAGGTCTCAATCAGCTGTGGGCTAATGGGCCTGGTCATACATCTTCATCAGCTGTGGGCTATTGGTCCTGGCCATACACCCTCTATTCTGACTCCGATCGTTGTGATAGCGAAATATAT